TTAGTGAGAATTTTTGCAAAACACAGAGCCACTCAGACAGATCTATCCTTTTCTAGATTCATGTCTATGTTTCTTTCTTATGCGCTATAATTGGACAATTTAAAGCTAATTGTGCAAATCTCCATCAAATGAGATGGAGATTTACACAATTAGCAAATCTACATCTCATTAGCATCCCCCACTGCATCTTAAGCAGTGTAGGTTTATTTAGGTAGGCACTAGGACCTCTCCAAGATGGCAGCCATATTTCATGCACCCTAGAAGCCAATACAAGATTTGCTCTTTATGTACATCAACTATACATACACCGCTAACAAAACTCTGCCTGATCATTGAAATGTAACAGCCTGAAATTTAAAACAGGGTTAAAGAAAAATAAAAGCCCTTAAAATGCAAGTCACAAAATAAAGACACCATTGTGAAAATTAGTCCTGATATCATACGCTTTAAAATAACATTAAATACATACATTTTAAATAAATTTTTAAATAAACAAATATTTTTAACATATATTGTATTTCATTTCACCGCAACGTTTGTTCATGTGAAGGGATATTTATTATTAATAATAGGAATGCTTTAGTTTTCAAATTTTTGAATAAAAAGGCTCTTGATACAAAATGTTTGAGCAAAGCTACAATACAGTTAGACAGGAAGAGGAAAATTGTTAAGATTAGTTGGGTGAATAAACGACCATAGTCGGTTTACAAAAAGTGGACCCTGAAAGAACAAAATAAACATTTAGAAAGACCTTCAGGAAGCCCGAGAAATTGATTCAGAATTAAAACATGAAATAATGGAATAGGAAGGTAGAAAACATTGCAAGAAAAAGCAGGAAACAGGATTGTTTAACATTTTGGACAGGGCTATAAAACTTCCCCCCAGCAGCTGCAGGGGAAAAGATGACAGAGAGACTTTAATCAATCCCAACACCAAGCAGAGAAAAGCTGCAGAATGCACCATCTACCATGTGAAATATGCTTCTTACCCCTCTGCTGCCACCAGGTGCAGGTCGGAACTCACGAGGAAGTTTTCGCCCAAAAATCTGTGAAATATGCATGAACATCAAATCATAATGAAGGTCAAGCAGAGGCTCTACAAGCTGATTGCTGAAAATTCAAGCAGATCTAAGCCAGAAACTGACGATTAAATTATCGCGTTCAAAGTTTGGAAACATTTAAACTTTACACATCTGAACATCTACTGCAGTGAGAATCAATGTAGGAGGATGGATACAATTTACGTACATTTGCACGTACGTATGTACCTACATGCATGCATATAGAGTGAATTGAGTTCCAAGCTTTATAGAGTAGCCCAACAAAGCCTTGTTTTGGCTTCTGTGCTTATGTAACACAATTGTTGAAGGGAGGAGTCTGTCATCGATAGTCGATAGCTTCGTCCCATCGCCCCCACCTTACTTCCTGGTACTGCTGATCCTGAGGGAGTAATCCCACTAGATTAAGTTCGCCTCATGGTACAGGTCTCAAATGTGATTGGTCCAATCGTGTTTTCAATGTGCTCAAAACCAGAAGAGTCAAATATATGGTAAATGGAGTGTGTGAAGCAAAAAGAAAACGCAATTCAAAAAAGGATTTGAACATGAAAGCTGAAAAAGAAAATGGAATAAGGAATAATCCTTTTAAATGTGTAATTAGGAAAGGTTCATCATCAGATTTATAACCTAATTTTGTTTATAAATCTCAATTTAGAAAATACTTGTTCAAATTCCAGTTTTCAGTATTGTATTAATAAGTACAATTTATGATTCCTCTTTAATAATTCAATGTAAAATATGCAATTAGAATTTTATTTTGAAATTAGATTTCAAGTTGCATCATTTAAATATTAAATTTGAAATGGGTGGTTTTTGTGTCATATAGTTAGCCTGGTGAGACCATCCTGATCTCGCGAGCTTTCAATTTTTTACTCGCAAATCAGTCTGGAGACTCTCCGTTAAAGAAAATTTGGAGCCGTT